AAGAATTGATAACCGAAGACACCTCAACTTTACGCAAACTAATAACTAAAGACAACTCGACTATCGGCAAATGATAGTTGAAGATAGCTCGACTATGGACGAACCGATAACCTTTTGTAAGATGTATGAACCTTAACAGAAGGACCTACATGGTAATAGATCTAAGGAAGAAAAAAGGATCATGTGTGAACACCATCAGATATGAACAGATCTCGGGCAACAAAAAATAGTGGACAAGAAAAAATAAATATGTTTGGGCAACAAGGAAATTGTCCTATAAAAGGGAGAAGGTGACTATATACTTTTTCTTCTATTCGAGTCATTTATTACTATTCACTATTACTCCAAAAAACTGACTTGAGCGTCGAAATCACACGCTCGGACATCTCAAGCGTTGTTTTGCAGGTGATTAAAGATGTTCAAGGGACGAATCAGATTCAAATGTCATTATCCCAAATTGAGGTGTTCTACACATCATATATAATTGTAGACAAAGTTTTTAATTTAATAAAATTATTTTAGTTTTCTCTCCATTCTCGGGTATAAACGGAAAATGCTACAATCCCGTCACAGAATGATTCGGTGAGGTACGAGCAAGTTAGGTTCATTCAGAAAAGAGGACGAGTAAGTAAAAGTCAATTTTATCGAGCCTGTTGTTCTTGTTTTTACTACTTTCCATAGTGGTTCGCGTACGTATAAACCAACCCCTGGCGAAACCGGCTCGTAGGCTTGACTATTATTGATGGAAGGCGGGCTATATTATGCCTATTCAACTTATGCCTTATGCCTCTTTGCTTTCCTTATTACTTAACGCACGTGCCGCCCTGTCTCAACGTCACTTCCCAAACCAAAACCGCCTTTACCATATCTATGAAAGGTGAAAGGTTGAAGGTCCACAACAGATAACATAAATGAACAAGTTGATTTTGTATTCGAGTTGCTGAGAGCCGTAGCTCGTATGAAAACATTACTTCATTGTTCTATAAGGCGATGCACTAAGCACATACTCGGATAGGGTCGCGAAGTGCAAGGTCTATATGTAACTGCTAAAAACCCTCACAAATTCATTCCGTGACGAGATCATAGTCTTTTTTCATAAACATATATCATTAATATTGTTTTTCCCTTTCACATCAATCTACCATAATAGTAATGTTACTCGCCATTTTTTTAGCTACTAATTATTATAAAAAATTATAAATATTAATTTAATTAATTGTAATCATATAATTTTATTATTAATATTATATAATAATTAATACTAAAACTAACTACTAATAATTTACCCTAAATGTTATGTAGAAAATATATAAGTAAACTCTATTGTTTTTTTTCTTTATTTTAAAATCGATATTATCTTTACTTTTTTTTTTTGTATCTCAATACCGAGGAACTAAGAACAGATTTTCCCAAATCCAGCTAAAAACTACAATAAAATTTATTTTCGATTTGAACCCAAATTGATAAAACTCCATTAACATTAACTAATATAAAATTGAGAAATGCTATGTCCCGTTACAGTACCATCCCGTCGAATATTCTAACCGTTGGATACACATGTAGTTAGTCTAAGATAGATGATCCAACAGTTAAAACATTCGACGGAATGGTACCGTAAGCATCACACCAGAGTAGGAAACATAAGAATTTTCTCCGCGTGAAACACTTCAGATATTCTGAGATCAAATTAAATGACTTCCAATGAACTCAACGTCTTCCTCCAACGCCGCCATAACCTCTGGCGCCAGGCAGACCTCGACATCAAAGCCGTCCCTTTCATCTGCCATAAAAATTGTCACACTGCCATCCCATTTTTGTGCCTTTCCACTCCTTACAGCCACCGGCTTCCCCAGCCCCACATTCCCCATTCCTCCGTACGCATCGAACTTGGGAAAGCTCGTCACCCCCAGTGTGAAACTCCCCTCAACGTGCACATGGAACTGAGGCTCCTTAACCCACTCCTCTAGAAAACCCAACACAACCTCCTCCTTCCCTTTCCCGGCAAAAAACGCCTTGAGCCCGAGCGCAGCTCGGCCCAACCCATCTCCCAACACCTCCCCCTCATGCAAAGCCATGAAACATCAATAGCGTTCCCGAAATACCCTTTCGGCAATGGGATTTTCCCTCTTGCACCGATCGCCGTGACAAAAACTTCCTCGCTATTGCCATCTGTCTTTTTCCGGCTACGCGCCACGCACCGCCATATATGACCCAGGATCACCTGGAACGACGTAAATTCACCGGCTTCCAGATTCGCCCTCGCCTTTAGCTTCGCCACGCTCTCCTTACTTATGCGGAAAACCCTCTCGAGCAACGGGGGACGTACGATCTTCGTAGTGAAGTCGAGCACACGGACGGGAATGGGTCGATTTTCCCATCCGGGGAAATCGCGCTCGAAGGAGGGCATTTCTGATATTTTCTCACGGCCGCTGCCAATCTCGGACCACGAGCGGATCAAATGCCAGAGGGACGAGCCATCCACAACGGCGTGGTTGGTTGTGCAACCCATGAAGAGGCCGTCCTCGAGCTGCGTTATCTGGATGGCGAATAGCGGCTCGGAGGTCCCTTGGAAGTTGCGGGTCCCGTTTAGTGGGAAGAAGGAGAAGACTATTTCCGGAGTGTGCGTGGCCTCCGTGATGTAGGAAACCAACACGTCGGTGGCAGCCGCATGGATGAAGCCGGCCCCTTTGTTGTTGCAGTCGACAAAATAAACGGCCGTTTTATCGTTGGTGTTATCGGTGGAGAGGCGGCCGGCTAGCGGGGGAAAATAGTCGAGCACGCGGGAGAGTGAGGCTTTGAGATAATCGATAATGAATTCGATAGGGAATGCGTGTTTGTGAAATAGAATCTCATATTGGATTGGTTCGAGTAAGAGCATTTGCAAGTCCCATGGAGTAAGATCGAGGCGTGACATCGGAGTTACGTCGACGGACGCCATTGGAACAAGGCTTGATGATACTACTTCAACTTTTGCCATCCCTTCTTTCTTTTTTCCCTTTCTTTTTGGTAAGGAAATGTGATGTTGATCGGGTATTAAACAAGGCTATATTTATTGCACAAAGTTGTGAGAACTTGGTAGAAACGTGGATGAATAAAGAAAAGCACCACATGATGCGCGCTGGGGTATTATAAATTTGAAGAACGTTCATCATTGATAAACAAAGAAAGGCATTATCGCATCCTACAATTGAGAATTTTATGGTCAACGCTTAATTTATTTACAATTTTGCATACAGTTGTATATGTCCAAAACAGAAGCATCTCCAACCAAACGCAATACACATACACAACTGCATAATGAATTTAAAATGTGTTTGAAATATCGTTCGTGAATTATCCCACGTAAGAAAAATTGATTCTAGCTTATATGACAAATAGGTTATTCCTTCCATAACAAATTGGTTTTGGGAAAAAATTTCACTATAGTCTATCTAGATCCACTCTTTTATAGTGCGTTTTTGTGTGGGACCGCACTCTCTTGAATGTTACTTGTGACTTGGTGGGCTACTCTTTTAAGATAGAATCTCACTAGGATACACTACCCTCTTGTCCCGGTTCTTGCAAAATGCAAAATAGGATTTTGATGGCGATCTCTCTCCACCAAAATGTATAGATGCGTTTGTATGATCACCAATTACAATGTGGTCATCCTTTATTGTTTGATAAATTAAGCGTATTATTAATTTGCATCATTTTAAATAATAAATATTCCAGATCACGTCCTTAATTTATAAATTGGATTTTTTATATTAAAAAAGAAATTACTTACCGGACTCCATTATTGGTGTCTGGTCGATCGATACTATTAAATTGAAATGAATTAGACTGCTCATTTATTCTCATATATATTTATCTGAAAAAAATAGTATAGTATAATCTTTTATGGTTCTTTTATTTAAATTATAACCAAATCTAATTTTATTTATATTTTTATGAGCATATCAGTGTATTTTTTTTATTTTTTTTTTTTG